GGAGTAAATTGCTCTGATTGAGTGTTTTATGCTTTGCAGGAGAAATTCCGGGCGACAATGAGGTTAAAGAGCGTTTTGAGCCAATATGGAGAGTTAAAGACTAAGTAAAAGCTTATGGAGTAAATCGGGAGGTCGTTACGGGATCGAAAGAGGTTAGCGCATTTAAAAAGAAGAACGAAGAAGAGTGCAGGAAAAGGCCCAGGTGCGCGGCCGCGCACTGGGCTGCGCAAGTCAGGCAGAAAATTCACAAAGTGCGCGGCCAGATGCGCGGTCACCCTCCTAGGTGCGCGGCCGCGCACGTCTCTCCGAGGAAAATTATTTCAGGGCTAAAATTGTAATTCCGGAGGCGACTCTCCTTGACCTATATGAAGCCCAGCTCGCCCAAAAAGAGGGTATCTTGGTTTTTAGAAGAATTTTGAAGGCAAGAACAGGCAAGACGGAAGATTCGGCAACGAGTTTTTATCTTTCTTCCTCTCGTTTTTAACATTGATGATGAATTCTATTGTTATGATTGTGAAAATGATTATGCATAGCTAAACTCCTAATCTAGGGTTGTGATGGAGCCTATTGGAGGATGATTTTCTTGTTATGTTAATATAGATTTGCCGTAGTATTTTCTTTATTTGTTCAACTATATTGTGATTGTTGTTGACTGAAGGGCCCTCAATTGACTGTGCCTATTTAGTATGTATTACTCGGGAGAGAGTGCATATTTAGGTAGTTGTTGAACAACATCACTCTTAACGTATATGAGGGATCAATACGAAGGGTTTAAAGGTGGGATTAGGGATAACGAAACCTTGGTGCGATTTGAGTGAGCTGTTCTTAAGGCCAGCTAGAGTAATTCGGGAGAATATGTCTAGTATATTGTGGTAATTACTCGGGAGAGAGTTACGACAGTCGGAGTGCTCATGATCGATAGAGAGACTGAGGCAAATTTATAGGAAACATAGCAATAGGGGAAATCATAATCCTAGATCATTCCAATTCTTGTCTACAACCAGTTTCGTAGTTAGTTATTCTTTATTGCATTTTCATTACGTATTATTAGTTAGTAAACATCCAATTTATTACTTAAATATTTTTGAAGATTGATTACGAGAATTTGTGTGAGTCCAATAGTTGTGTTTAATAGGTTAATTCCCTGTTAGATTCGAATCCGGACTTGTTAACCGGAATATATTTGCAACGACCGCTTTGTCCTTGTTATAAGGTATAGTTGGGCGTGATCATGACACATTTCATCGTTACGTAACGACGGATTTAACGATATGATACAATAAATTTAAGTAACAACCAAAACAAACATCGTATTTAAAGTAATAATACGATACAATAAAATATGTAAGAACCATCCAAACAAGCTGTTATGGTCCAGAAACAAATTAAATGATCATATTATATCAGATTATAGAAGGCAAATCCACTATACGAGCTTAATGTCGATGCTTCTAAGAATGATGCTTGTCACTTTCATACAATCCTCCTTTCTAAATAAAATAAAACTCTGTAAATTTAATTTGTATTATAAGAGAACGAAGAATCTTCAAACTGATACATCGAATCACCTAACTAACATGACAATATAGCTCGCTAAAAATAAAAGCTGAGACAAGAAGTTTCAAGAATGACACATTTCCAATCTGTAGCCATCTTTGTCACTACTAGAAACATCCGTTATGTAAAGGGATTCAATAATTTGTATATTCAGTAATATTATTTACTGAAGTATTTGAGATTCTTTTAATCATGCTGCTAAATTAATGAAGAACTGATGAATCAAGTATGTTTCAGCAGCTAGCCACCAGTTATAGGTTTATCAGTCTCTAAGAATTATCACATTCGGATCAAGAGGATTTATCTATATGACAAACTTGAGCAAGTAACAAAAATTGTGTACTCATGTATAGAGCTAATTTTAGCTGTCTAGATTTATTTAGAGAGTCATGAGATGCTTTGCTCTTCGACAGCTTCACAAAAGTTGTTGGTTTCCTTTTCTCTTTTTTTTTGGTTGTTGTCTCCTTACATTTTCAGCTTGTGAAGACAAAAAAATTCCAATGTGTATCATGCTGCTTCTAGGAGAGCCTTGGAGCAATGGTCAAGTTGTCTCCATGTGATCTATAGATCACGGGTTCGAACCGTGAAATTAGCCATGAATGCTTGTATTAAAGTAAGATGTCTATATAACCCCTTTAGGGTGCGGCTCTCCCCATACCTTGCATGACACGAAATGCTTTCTTTTTTAATCTTGCTGCTATAACGTGGTTGAATATAAAGGGACTTCTTTTTCAGGATAAATACTTGACTTGATATTGCTTAAGATGGGCTATTAAAGCTTTGGATCATTGTATGTTTTGTTGTTTGGCATCTTTGTGATGCGCATCTATACTGCTCTTTGCGGCGAAGAATCCCTTTGCCTTTTTCCCTTGCCATTATTAACTACTAATACCTTTTCGTCTTTTTGTGAACATGCTATAAGGGTCCACGCGGTTTAGTGAACAATGCTTTTTTTTAATTAATAAGCTGTAGGAAAGTATATTGTCGGCTTTCCGTCATGCTCAGTTTTCTTGAATTGGTTTAGATTTCCAGCTTGCATTACATGAGTGCCCAGTGTCTCCCAACCAAACATAAAAGAGAAATTTTTATAAAGCACTATCTTTTAGTGGTAATTAGCTATCTATAAATACCATTTGCTATATTACGGATTATAGATACGTTTTTTGTTGTTATAAGATGTATTAGACGTATTTAAGCTACTGTATTCATGAATACAGTAGCAAAAATAGGTGTGAATCAGGGAAGTCCAGCTAATCAGTTGTTGTATTCGAGTGTGTTCGACTGTATTCATGGCGTGGAACATGGGATTACACCTGGACAGATTATTGTATTCGACTGTATTCACGGCGTGAAACAGGGAATTACACTGTTTTTAAACGGAAAGTGAATCAATTAACATAATAGACTCCTAATATAACTCAACAAACTCAATTATAACACACAAATTTTGTATTTCCTTGTATAAAAAAGATTCTCAACCGAAAAATACCGCAAAAACATAGCAATCTTCAGAGAAATTATATAATACATCTGAATACATAAATTATATTAATTAAAAAAAACATATGAATGCATTCATGCCATATAGCGAGACAGTGAATACAATGAAATACATAGAATACAACGGGATACATTAAAATACAATGAAAAAAAAGATAGTGAATACAATGAAATACGTGGAATACAGCGAGATATATTGAATTACAATGAAAAAAAAGACAATGAATACAATGAAATACATGAAAATACAGCGTGATACATTAAAAATACATTGAAATATATTAACAGAAAATGAAGTTGCTCAGCCCCAAACTCCGTCGTCTTTGTTCAAGAACAAACCCTAATTTCCGGCGAATCCGCCGTCGAGCAAAAACCCTGAATCTCACCAAAAGGCCCTTCGTATTTGATCAAATAGGAAGGGCCCTTCGTAACAGAAAATCAAGTTGCTTCTGACCCTTTGTATTCAATCAAGTGCCTTTGTTCTTTTGTGAGCAAAGTCGAATCCTTTTCAGAAAACAATAAAGAATCTGCTATTGCAGCAAAAAAATATCTGAGCTTCTCCCAAAAAACTCACTTTTGCCAGAAAGAGAAACTTTATGAGATAGTTAGGGTTCCGATAGAGTGAAGGATGGCGGAATCGGCGAGTCCAGGCAGCGGCAGCGGAAGCCATGAAGTGGCAGCGAGCGGAGCCCTCAGTTGTGTTTTCAGGGAATGGGGAAAGAGAATGGCATATATCAAAGTAGAGAGAGAAAGAAAATAGTGTAACTGAATAGCGTATTTAGTGGCTTAGGGGTACGAGGTAACCAAAATTAGATATTTTGCTATAAACATTAAAAGGTATCTATAGAATATAATTTTTTAAATGGTATTTATTTAAAATAAATAAGGTGTTAACCTTTGCTATAGGAGGTAAAAATTCCAACATAAAATATAGTGCTATGGTTGGGATCACTTTGTCCGTAATCAAAAGTCTGCACTCCGAGCCATATGAATTGAGGTTTTTTTGATACATTTGTAACGGTTTACCCTCTTTAATAGGCTTATTCACCACGAACCGAACCGACTATCAGGTTTATTTTAATAAAATCGTAGGTTTTTAGATAAACTTATAACCATACCGATTAATAGGGCAGGTTTTTAAATTTGTAAAAATAAATCGGTAAAAAACTGAACCGTACCGAATAAATTTATATATGAAAAATTTATTTTATATACTTATAAGTTTAAGACTAATTTTATAAATAACTTTTACTATCTTCTCCAAGCTCTATCGGCGCATGTTAAGCAAACGTGCGCCGGATCTGCCATGGCCGGAAAGAAAGCACGAGGACGGCCTAGAAAGCAACAAATTCGTGTAGATGACAAAATCCCTAAACTCAACACATTGGAAAGGAGCGCAACAAAGTTCATGGATTCCATTTCTGGAGCATCGAAGGTGGTTAGCACTTCTGGAGCATTGAAGGAGATTGGATATGTACTCCCACCACAAATCTACCATGGAGAAGCTTCAGGAACAGCTAGGCAACAACAGAAACAAGCAAATCAGAGTCTCAATACCGTTGCATGTTGATTTACGAGGAAGCATCACACCACCTGCAATTCGAGAGGTTACTGTTCCATTGAGCAAAGAACAGGAGCATGCAGCTAAGACACCAGCTGGAAATACTGTTCCATTGATGACTCAAGAGCAAAAACAAACTGCAGCTAAAGAATCTACCTGGGCTAATGTACTCACAGGCAATAGATCTGCAGCAAACAGTATGACACTGACCTATATTACTCCTGAAATTGTAGAAGGGAACCTAGTAGCTAAACTTGAGAAATCAGAGATTGAGCAGGAAAATCTGAAGTGACAGAATGCTTTGATTGTCTATGTCTTGGGTGAAAAACCAGGATACAATTATATGAAAAGATACATCAATCAGGTGTGGAACATAGTTGCCATGCCAGAATTGTTCTATCATGATGAGGGTTACTATCTTGTGAGATTCCAAACATTGGAGGACATGAAGGAAATCATGTGTGCTGGTCCTTATACAATGAATGGAAGACCAATGATAATGAAACATTGGTCTCCATACTTTGACTTTGCTGCAGAATTTTTAACAGATATTCCACTATGGGTAAGGTTCCCAAAACTTCCTATGAATTGTTGGAGTGGGAACTCACTGAGCAGAATAGCAAGCACAATAGGGATCCCTATGTTTGCAGATGAGTGTACTGCTAAACAGACAAGAATATCCTATGCTAGAATTTTGATAGAAGTGAATGTTACAAAACCCCTGCCAACAAGTATTCCAGTCATGAATGAAGGAGGGGTGATGTTTGAGCAAGTAGTGGAGTATGATTGGAAACCTGATTTCTGTGAAAAATGTTTAAAGGCAGGACATAATTGTAGCAGAATCCCAAAGGAAAATGACAAGCCAATTCCTCAGCTCAGTAATAGGAAGCCACCACCAGTAAAGCAAATATGGAGAACAAAGGAGCCAACTCAAGTTACAATAAATGAAGGGGATCAGAAACATGATGAAGCTATCAGCAAGGAAGTTTCAAATGTACCTAAGCCAATTGAAAACAAGGAAACTCACAAAGAAGGAGAGGCAATAGAGACAAGCAGGCAGGTAGATAAAGGGAAAATGAAGGCAGTTGAAACTCCAATGACCTATGCCAAAGCTATAATGTCCCCAGTGAATCAAAGGACCCAAGCTAGCCAGAGTACAACTGTGATAGCAATTCAAAAACCACCTAATATAGGTGGGCAATCCCAACATTGACATGTCTTGGATGGTATGTAATATAAGAGGTACCAACAAGAGACATAAACAGAAGGAGTTAGGTACCTACATAAAAGAGAACAATATCAAGCTAGTGGGGTTAGTGGAAACAAGAGTAAAGAAGGAGAAAGCAATTCAGATCTCACAATTAATAACATCTGGATGGCAAGCTCAATATAACTATGAATATGCAATAAATGGGAGAATTTGGTTACATTGGGATCCACAGTACTATGACATTACAGTACTAGGGAAATCTGCTCAAACAATTCATTGTAGAGTTTTAAGCAGGCATAATAATATAAATTGCCTCATGACAGTAGTGTATGGGCTTAATACTATAGAAGAAAGGAAGCTTTTATGGCAACAATTGAAAGATGATGCACCTCAGAACACAGAACCTTGGCTCATCTGGGGAGATTTCAACTCTGTCTTAACAATTCAAGATAGAATCTGTGGGAAAGTAGTTACTAAGGTTGAAATCCAAGACTTCACTGAATGTGTGCAGACACTGAATCTTCATGAATTAACTTGGAGGGGAGACTACTATACATGGTCAAAAAAGCAACAAGGATTAGATAGAATATATAGCAGGATTGATAGAGTATTTGGGAATGAGGAGTGGATGTAGGAGTATGGTCACATGGAAACAGAATATAGGCTCCCATTTATATGCACCAATGGTTATTACTATCAGAAGGCAGTTATTATATGGCAAGATCCCCTTCAGATTCTTTAATATCTGGGCAGAACATCCAAGCTTTATGTCAATGGTAGAAGAAGTATGGAAAGAACATCATGAACATGATCCTATGAGGAATATATGGCAAAAGTTAAAGAGGCTAAAACCTTTGTTGAAGCAGCTCAACAACAGAGAATTCAGGGGCATCACAGAAAGGCTAGAAACCACTAGGAGTCTGTTGCAGGATATTCAGGCACAAATGTCAAAAGGCTATTCAGACAAACTAGCTACTGAGGAAAAACAAGCTTTAGAGTATTTGGAGAAATGGTCCTTAATAGAAGAAAGCATACTACAGCAGAAGGCTAGAGCTACATGGCTTAGACTTGGAGATGCTAATTCTAAATACTTCTCAGCAGTAATGAAGGAGAAAAGACAAAAGAAAGTGATCACAGAGTTGCAAGATAGCTTTGGAAATAAATTAACTGACCAGCAGCAGATACAAGAAGAGATTATCAGCTTCTACAAAACATTGATGGGGTCAACAATAGGGAACTTGCCAGCAGTCAATAGAGAGATAATGAAGAGAGGGCCAATTCTTAACCATGAACAACATGTGAAATTAGTGGCAGATGTTACTGAGTATGAAATATATGAAAGGCTAAATGCAATTGGTAATGATAAAGCTCCAGGGGTAGATGGTTACAATGCAGCATTTTTCAAGAAAGGATGGCCAATAATAGCAGATGAAGTTTGTCAAGCATTCAGGAATTTTTTTACCACAGGGAGATTGTATAGGGCAGTGAACTGTACAACCATCACTATCCCGCCTAAAGTCCCAAATCCAACAAATATCAGAGAGTATAGACCTATAGCTTGCTGCACTGTGTTGTATAAACTGATAGCTAAGGTTCTTGCTAATAGAATACAGAAAGTCATTGCATCCATTGTTTCAGAAACTCAGGCTGGATTCATCCCAGGAAGAAAAGTTGCAGATAATGTGATTCTTGCTCATGAACTAGTTAAAGGCTACTCTAGAAAGAATATCTCTCCTAGATGCCTTATCAAAGTGGACATTCAAAAAGCCTATGATACAGTAGACTGGAGATACTTGCATCAAATGTTGGAAGCACTGGGATTCCCTACTAGATTCATCAACTGGACCATGGAGTGTGTGACAACAGTGAACTACACAATTCTTGTTAATGGTGAAACAACAAAGCCTTTTGATGCAGCTAGGGGACTGAGACAAGGGGACCCTATGTCACCCTTTTTATTTGCTATAGCTATGGAGTACCTCAGCAAGAGTTTAAAGAGCTTAAAGCAGGAGAAAACTTACCATTATCATCCTTTGTGTGCAAGAATGAATCTAACTCACTTGAGTTTTGCAGATGACCTCCTGATCTTTGCAAGAGGAGATGTAACTTCAGTAAGCCAAGTTCACGATAGATTCCAGAACTTTTCAGCAGCCTCAGGACTTAGAGCTAATCTAGCAAAAAGTTCTATTTATTTTGGAGGGGTCAGTGAAGAGGCACAAAAGGAGATTCAGGGGAAACTAGGATACAGTCAAGGGGCACTGCCTTTCAAATACTTAGGCATCCCTCTTGATTCCAAGAAACTCTCAATCTTGCAATGGCAGCCCCTTATTGACAAAATAGTGGCAAGAATTTCATCTTGGACAGCTAAAAAGTTATCATATGCAGGTAGAATCCAATTGGTTCAGCATGTTATTTTTGGTATCCAAGCATATTGGGCTCAAATTTTATCATGCCAACTAAAGTGGTCAAGACAATTGAGGCTTACTGCAGAAGTTATGTTTGGTCAGGGGAGAATGTAATAACAAAAAAGGCATTGGTATCTTGGGAGAGGATGTGTGCACCAAAAGCTACAGCGGGACTAAATATGGTTAATCTAGCACTGTGGAACAAAGCTGCCATAACAAAGTATACCTGGGAGCTGGCAAACAAGAAAGACAAACTGTGGATCAAATGGATCCATAGTTATTACATTAAAGATCAGGTTTTCTATACCATGGGAGTGCCACAACAATCATCATGGATGCTGAAGAAAATATTTGAAGCAAGAGCTAATCTGGCAGGGATTACTGGTAATCAAGATAAACAAAAGAAAGTGATCAAGCAGGTGTATATGCAGCTGATAGGGGAGATGCCAAAGGTAGCATGGAAGGGGCTATGTACCAGAATCAGGCTAGACCAAAAGCAATATTTATACTATTGTTGCTGATGCATGGAAGACTTCAAACTGCTGATAGATTGAAGAAATGGAAGATCCAAGTTGATGAAATATGCTGTTTTTGTAAACTAGCTCTAGAAACAAAAGAGCATCTGTTTGCAGAATGTGTGTATGGCAGAGATTTATGGAACATGCTCATGCAATGGATTCAAATGCAAGTTAGCTTACCTTCATGGGCAGAATGGCAGCAATGGATAATACAGAAAACGAAGGGAAGATCACAAATGGCTAGAATTCTCAAAATGATAGTTGCAGAATATGTGTATACTTTGTGGATAGAAAGAAATGCAAGAATCTTTGAAAAAACAGCTACAACATGGGATATACTTGCAAAAAAGGTGGCTTGTGTATGTAGTATGAGAGCTGAGGGATATACAAAAGTTTTGCTAGCAAAATGTAAGTATTAATAGATGTAGTTGCTAGACTTTTAGATGGAGGATAGATGATTGAAACCAGGATGGAAGTCAGGTTGTGATGACCTACTGCTTTGTAAATATTACTTTGGTGATTAATATAAAGATTTAATTACCAAAAAAAAAGTTTAAGACTAACAAAGCATTAAGTTTTTTTCTTGGGTCTTGGGATTATGAAAATGGCCACAAGTGACCAAATAATTAATATCCAAAATTCCAACTTTCAAACTTATTCTAATATTCATATCGAAACTAAATTAGTTCTAACATCTTTAGTAGCAAGCCACTAGTTATTCCAGCGATCTTCAGTAGCAAGCCACAAGATATTGGATATCTTTCCTCTCGTATAATCTAGATTTCTCTTGTTGGATACTAATCTCTTAATAAGCTCTATTCTTGAGTCCCATCTGTTGATTAGTATCTTTCCACTCGCATGATTTATATTTCTCTTGTCTTTGCTTAATTGGTTTTAGGCTACCATAGAATAGCGAGATGAATTTTAATTTTGGACATCTTTCAGGTTCCTTTGTTCATCACTTTTAAAATAGTAAATTGTCTAGAGAGTTTTGCCAAAGCCCAATGCAAGTACACATTATCGCATTCTAACATCGACTAGCGACTCTTGCATGATATTTTTTTTTAAAAATAACAAAAACTTAATCGAATCGTACCGATACCGAAGAGAAATCGTGATGATTGGGACGGATTCGAAAAGTCTAATTTTGGTTATACAAAATGGAATAACCTAAAATTCGGTATGGTACAAATTTTATAAAATAACCAGCCGAACCGACACAAATGGCTGGTAGTCAAATAATTATTCAATTTTATCACAATATATTTGAGAAGTGAAATAAAGTCTTTTACTAAAAAAATTTAAATAGTTTTAAGCATGAAAAAAATATGTCTTGCAGCATATCTAATGTGGCTTTTAACTAAGGGTGGCAAATGGGTGGGTTGGGCTAAATTTGGGCGGGTCAAGATGGGTTAGGTCAATAAATGGGTTATTATCCAACCCAGCCCAAAGTGTACTTGGGCTAAGATGGGCGGGGTCAAGATGGGTAAAGAATGGGTCATAACACAACCCGCCCAACTTAACCCATGTTTTAGAACCATGCTCATCTTGCATTAAAAGATCTTTTACCTTAAAATGTGTAAGATGAAAAATATCTTGCGGGGGTGGGGGTTAGGGTAGGTGGGTGGGGTGGTACAGAAAAACGAAAAAACATAAAATAGAAAATTGCATATAAAAAAAAGTAAAAAAAAAATTGAGGGGGTTTGGGTGGTAGGGTGGTGCAGAAAAAACAAAATATTAAAAATACCAAAAAAAAGTAAAAAAATTTTTTTTGAGGGGCTTTGCGCGCGGGGGAGTGGGGGAGGTAGGGTGGGTGGGTGGTGCAGAAAAATAAAAAAAAAAAAAAAAAAAAAAAAAAAAAAAAAATCAAAAAAAAAAAAAAAAAAAAAAAAAAAAAAAAAAAAATAAAAAAAAAAAAAAAAAAAAAAAAAAAAAAAAAAAAAAAAAAAAAAAAAAAAAAAAAAAAAAAAAAAAAAAAAAAAAAAAAAAAAAAAAAAAAAAAAAAACCAAAAAAAATAAAACAAAAAAACAAAAAAAAAAAAAAAAAAAATAGAAAATTAAAAATACAAAAAAAAAAAGCAAAATTTTTTTTTTTGGAGGGGGTTTGTGCGGGGAGGGGGGAGTAGGGCGTAGGGTGGGGTGGGTGGTCCAAAAAAAAACAGAAAATTAAATACAAAAAAAAAAATTTAGGGGGTTTGGGGTTGGGAGGGGGGATTGGGGGTGGGGGCAGAAAAACAAAAGAACAGAAAATTAAAAATACAAAAAAAACAAAAAAAAAAATTGGGGAAACTAAATAAATTTCTAGATAAGTTGGGTTGAGATCCTTTTGTTTTGGATGAGTTTCATGGTTGTATTTGGGTTGCTTAATAGGTCAGAATGAGCTATAAAAAATAATGGGTTAACTTGGGCTCAGCACAAATTGACCCATGAGTTAAAATGTTTTTAGCCCAACCCATTAATCTTTGGGCGAGTTGGGCAGGTTAGATGGGTTTGAGCTCAAATTGCCACCCCTACTTTTGACAATATTTATCTTAAAATAACTAGAGAATTAGTGTTTGAATTCGCAGAAATGACATATTTTGACCTTGAATTCTAGAACAATCAATTTGTCGGACGAACAACGTAACATGTTTAAGTTACTTGGATTGTCAGGCTCTCATTAAAATCATTTTCCATTGCGCTTTGCTACGCCATTGTTTTTCCAACTCCTTTATAAGAAATATCCTTGTTCTGTTTTTGATGGACATATTCAGTAGTACTAATCTTTAATTCTACCTTCTATGAAATTCATGGTTAATTAAAAGACTGGTAAAACTGTAAAGGGCCATTAGTCATTCAGTTGCGTATAGTTGAAGCAGTTTGAGTTTGGAGTTTCGACCAACATCAGGTCTTTGATTCAACAAGAGATGATTATTTATGTTATCTTTTAATGTGTTTGAAGCACTCACAATAAAGGGAAAATCTCAAATATTCTCGTTTATATCGTATCCAGTCTTTATCTTCGCCAATATTACTATCTATCTAATTCAATATCCCATGCTTATTTGATGCAACCTCACCGATAGGGGCGGATCTAGGTGTTCATGAAAAAATCACATCGCGTACATAAGGTCAATCTTTTATTATGCATATAAATTAAATATTGAATCTTCTTTGCTTTTTCACATGTTTACTTCTTTTATTTTTTGAATCAAATTGATGAAAATACCACTTCTGTGCGCAACTGTTCACCAGAAATAAATTGTTTGGTTATTAGATGGCCCAAATGCATTAATTGAGGTATTTCTCTACTCAACATGAGACTGGTAAAAAAACTATATTTTGTTTCAACCCCCATAATAAATTCAAAGATGGTAATACAAACAATGAATATCTTAACCGAGCTGTTATTAAAGTTAGGCACCTCTAGATTCTTTATGCTCGGTTTAAAGAAAGTTGCAACTCTATCTATATCTGATCTATAAATGTACTCGAAAGATCAAAGATCTACCGAACTAACCTAACCTATGCTGAAACTTTGATAATAAGTAATTAAAAATGTCCACACATTTGGTTCACCAAAATTGCACTTTTTTTGGTCTACAAAGACAGCGCATTTATGTGGCACTACTTTTTCCAGATGTTCCTTGTTAGTTAGTAGTCCTTTCATATATTGAGAAGATCTAACTTGATTCGCATTTACACCACGAGTTAAAACCAAAGAAAAAAAGAAAAGTAAAAAAAAGAGTTCACGATATCTTGCATCCTGTTAAAAAGGGTATTATAACACTTGTATAATTTTTGCATATAACATACAGAATGTGTATATATGCAAAAAATATACAAATTTTATATATTTTTCAACTATTATTTTTAGAGCGACTATACAATGTCATTTTTCCTATTAAACGTATATTTTCTTAAAATTGGAAATTATAGATTTTATTTCTATCAATATGACTCGTTTTCTATATAATTTTTTTTTTATATTGGCTCAGGTTTAAAATAGCTAAGTTGGAAAGGACACTTTGTGATTCAAACTTTAATAAGAAGAGTCCGATAAAGTATTAAAGTGCTGGAAACATTGGGGAACAATTGTTTTGTATAATAGTACTGTTTGAGCAAAAAAGTATGAGACCTTTTTTGTTAAACTAATAAAATAAGAAGATGGAGGGTAAATCCTAGTTAAGGATAATTAATTCTAGATTCGGGATGAATAATATGAATAGAAAAACATAGCTGAGTATAAATGTTGGCAGTGATTATGGCCAGATTTAATAGATGCATTTAGTAACATTAAATGGCAATAAAATGTAAATAAAGGAAAAGATTCACCCAATCTTGAGTGAGGCGGATCCTCTTTCAGTTGATAAAGATGAATGATAGACAAATACATGGAACCTTAGGACCCTTTTTGGATCTGATGAAGGTCTGGGATCATAGATCCTCTAATCTCTGTAGAGAGGTGTGTTTACATATTTTCTTGGAGAGAGGGAGAGGGAGAGAGCCCCCTTTTTTGGGAAGTCCTATCCTCCTATTTATAAGGGGTATCCCTAGAAAACCCTAAAAAAAAGTACAATAAGAAGGAATATTCCGTAGAATATTTCTTTTGAGGATTCCAAAGCAAAATAGTTGTTTCATCACTGCCCGACCTCGGCCTTATTAATGATTGCACGACCTCAGCTGCCCGACCTCGGCCTATTGTCTCCGCATGCCGAATTTCTCTGATCTGATTTTGACCCATACAGTTAGTCCATCCGCTTACCGAGGTCATTTTGGTCGAGCTCGGTGAGCGGACTTCATTAATCGTAGTTCGAGAAATTCGGATGGGGAGGTCGACTAGTATGGATCGTGGCTGAGGGTGCCGATCTTTAGGTCAAAGTGGTATCCCCGCGGGCTGAACTTGAGCAGAGTTCGATAAGGGCCAATGACTCGAGTGATGAGTCGATCGAGAAGACGGTAGAGTTGGATAAGGCCGTCAAGGCCAGGATGGCATCTTTGGCAAGGATGGCGGCATCGGAGGAGGTCATTCGCGTCCTCGGATCTGGACGGGCGAGGAGGTCGAATGTCAATTTGCGCGAGGAGGCCGAATGTTAATTCGAGCGAGGAAGCCAAATGTTAATTCGGGCGCGGTTGCCAAATGTGAATTCGGACGAGGCCGCCGATTGTTAATTCGGGCGAGCTCACCGAAAGTGAATTTGGACGGGGTCGTCGAATGTGAATTCGGATGAGGTCGCCGAATGTTGATTCGGGCGAGGTCGCCGAATGTGAATTTGGATGAGGAGACCGAATGTGAATTCGGATGAGGTCGACGAATGTGAATTTGGGTGAGGTCGCCGAACGTTGATTCGGGCGAGGTCGCCGAATGTTAATTCGGATGAGGAGACCAAATGTGAATTCGTACGAGGTCGCCGAATGTGAATTCGGGCGAGGTCGCCGAATGTTGATTCGGGCGAGGTCGCCGAATGTTGATTCGGGCGAGGTCGCCGAATGTGAATTCAGGCGAGGTCACCGAATGTTGATTCGGACGAGGCCAAAGTTTATTCAGACGAGGCCGAAGTTTGATTCGAACGAGGCCGAAGTTGATTCGGACGAGGCCGAAGTTGATTCGGACGAGGCCGAATGTTTATTCAGACGAGGCCGAAGTTTGATTCGGATGAGGCCGAAGTTGATTCGGACGAGGCCGAAATTTGATTCGTTGTAATTTGAGCGAGGTCGAATTCTTCTCTTTGGCGATGGCCTTTGGCCGTAGGGGTGTTATTTCGAGCTAAGGCCGAAATGTTAACCCGTTGTAATTCGAGCGAGGTCGAATTCTTCTTTTTGGCAATAGCCTTTGGCCGTAAGGGTGTTATTTCGAGCTAAGGCCGAAATGTTAACCCGTTGTGATTCGAGCGAGGTCAAATTCTTCTTTTTGGCGATGGCCTTTCCGTAGGGGTGTTATTTCGAGCTAAGGCCGAAATGTTAACCCGTTGTAATTCGAGCGAGGTCGAACTCTTATTTCTGGCGATGGCCTTTGGCCGTAGGGGTGTTATTTCGAGCTGTCGTCGAAATGTTAACCCATTATAATTCGAACGAGGTCGAACTCTTCTTCTTTGGCGATGGCCTTTGGCCGTAGGGGTATTTTTTTGAGCTAAGGCCGAAATGTTAACCCGTTGTAATTCGAGCGAGGTTGAACTCTTATTTCTTGCGATAGCCCTTGGCCGTAAGGGTGTTATTTCGAGTTGATGTCGAAATGTTAAGCCGCTGTCTCATTATCAGATTTTGGCGAATCATAGGCTACCATACTGTCCGGAGACATCGGAGCGGATCTTGGCGTACTTGATTTTGCTTTTCTTTTTTTGGAGAGTTTCGGGTGTCCTCTGGGGGGTCCCAGTTTTGCTTAGCTTCTGCATTTCATGGGTAAGTCCCAATTTGCTTAATTTTGCTTGCGTTGGAGAGTACGACGCGTTTCCTGGGTGATTGCTCCTGCTTCTATTCCACTTAGAGAAATAGTCAGTTAAAACAAAAATGAAAGCGTTCGTTACCTCGATTTGAACGGTCGACGAGTCGAGAGGAGTGACCACGTTCCCTTCTCCGGTTACGCTTTTAGTGATCGCTACCAGTTTAGGAAGAAAGGGTTGTTCCGCCGAATAAAGAGGGATATATGCGGAAAACACCCTAAATCTTAGAGGGAAAAGGCAAGCCCTCGTCAAGTACAATCCCGACATTCATCTTCACGAAGACGTCTGAATCGACAAACTTTCCGGCACCATCATCTCGTCGATTTCCTCTTCGGGAACGTAGAGGATCAATTTAATAGATAATAACAAGAAAGCTTTGGTCCTTCGCTTTTGATTTACCTCGATGCTTCTTCCTACAGAAAATAGTACTTGGAAGTCATAAGCCAACATCCAACCAAGATAGACAGCAAGCGAATACATTTTTAAAAGCTAGCAATCAAGGATCTGGCACTTTGGGGTTCTTTCTATTCTGTAAAGATAGTATGCTGCTGCTAATTTTTGGTTGTGATTTATTACTTTGTACATATTACCAAAACACTGAGGTAGTTGAGTGTCTTTTTCGTTTCAATTCCTGAAAAAGCACGGGCTTTCCCGTCTTACTAGCTATACCAAAAAAGTAAAAGCTGCCATTTCATCACCATCTTCTTTAATTCTTTTTCTTTTCCTAATCAGCACATTGTTTTCCTTCTTTTTTTTTTTGTAGGTAATCATAGAGTTCAACCAAAAGTAAATATGGGAGCAGTCAGTAAAATCACTTTACCTTCCCAAAATAACATTTACGTCAATAAATATCTGTATTTGTGAGGTGACAATAGAAATGAAGCAAATCCGTGAGGTGATTATTCGATTTGAATGGTATTGATGAGATATTTATTAACGAAAGTGGAACTAGAATCGTATTTAGATCTAGAGGAAACTAAAATTTTAACTAGAAAATTCTCACAGACGGCGCCAAATTGTTTGACCAAAAAAGTATTAAACCTTTTGATTAAATCAATCGATGATGAGAAAAGGAGTAAATCTTAGTTAAGGATAACAAATCTAGACCAAATGATAGATAAAATAGACAAAATGGAAGACGTTGGTTAACATGTTTGAGTTGATTGAATGCTCATAAATGCAGCAACGTAAATATGCAATCAATTTAAGTAAATGCGATAGGCGTAATCATACGAAGTTGCTAACCAATTATTGAGATCTCTCGAAAAGCTTCTTTCCTCGGTAACAGAGTGGACAGAGAAGAGATATGAGATGATTGAGGAATTTTGGGACCCTGTCAATGTAAAACAATGAAGTATCTTTTTGGCAATCAATGAATAAGGCCTTTCTAATATATTCTCTCAGATGAATCTGTTACAAAGTGTTCTTTTGTCTCTCTTGCGCGGATCCCCTTTTTTTTACTAACTCTTCCTATTTATAAGGGACAATCTCCCAAGAAACCCTAAAAAGTACAACATAAAGAATATTCGAAAAGCATATTCTTACTGTCTCCTACTAAGTTTAAACTACCGTTGACATCTCGTCTCGGCTGACCGCTCTTGGTCGTCGTCCTTCATCATGACGACCATCAGACGTTGCGTCACGATAACCTCGTTCCTTGTCCTACTTCGGTAACTGCCGTGGTTGCCAAATTTGGACTCATACAAGTACCATTTTCAGGCCACATAAAAGTAGTACTATACATATTTTTTTTAACAGAACTCAGCTTTTAATTAAAATGGCCAATGATAATTTGGGAAAGAGGTTAATCTATATCTATACTATACTAAAAGCACGAAAGCCCTATCGAAATATCATTCGCCTTTTTTATCCTTTGTAAGTGCATTATATGTTGGATATACTTGTAATTGTAATCGTTAATTTTTTTTGGAAAAGAATCAAAAAGTGTCGTGTGCTTAATTGCTTTTAGGTTTAGAATTCTTTAGAATTTGCATTATTTGGGTTTTGGAATTCTTGCTTTACGAATTCTTTTTTCCTTTGGTTCTTGTTTCCTTTAGTGTTAGGATTCTTGGGATCCATTTCCGTAGGTTTTTATTTTCTTTAATTTTAGGATTCTTTTGATTCTGTCTTTTTAATTGCGGTATGTCTTTTTCTCATTGTTCCTTTTGTGTTCGTTTATGATGCAATTTTCATTGTCTATTTGGTATTGGTTTAGGATTCAATTTAGTATTAGTTTACTGATCTTACTTTATGGTAATTGTTTAACCAGAAAATAGGAATTTCGGTCAAAGCGTAATTTTAGATGAACTCGGGTTACTGATAATCAAATAAGGAATTAATTACGTAACAAAAAAAGAAAAATTGGACTGAGAAGTAGCTGAGTAAGCAATTTAAAGCAATGTAAATAAGTATATTCCGATAATAATCAGTGTGTCCTATACAAATGTTATTTCTCTCCTTTTAAAGCTATTTCTAAGTACTACGTTTCTTTCCTCTCGTAATAGAGCCATTATGAGCAATTAATGTCATTAATGAAACGTTATAATTGGCAATCGCAACTATTTCGTGAAGATTCTATTATGCTCGTTAATTGCAGATATTACGTATCTGTACTTTTTGCTGTCTTGATAAATTCCATCGATGTCTATTCAAATTATCAAGATCTGAGTAATCGTTCCCTCTTGTTTTCTTAAACCTTTGCTCGTACCTATTAAGATGCGTCTCTTTGCATACTCTTTGCCAACTGTCACTTAATAATCCATGTGTCTTGACATGTCAGCCACATAAATAATTCCAAATGTTAACTTAATTTTCCCCAATACAAATAGTCCTCCCACTTGCCATTTATTCTGCAATTGAATATTTGGGTTGTGTATCTCATTAAAGCGGGAATTTTTACCGTCATTCCCACATATCATTATACCTTTTCCAGAACTGACACTTCGCATGTCACTTCCATTTAATGCATGTGACACGTGGTGGCTTTTGACTGGTTCTGCAGTCCTTCAGCGTCTTTTAGGGCTTTTTTTGACGGCTACATCAATCACGAAGTGACAATTTTCATTATGGCGTTCCCATCATTACCTTTTTGTTTGACGGTTGCTTCTGAGTATAAATATATCCTTTGTCTTTTCTTCCATAGCAAAGTTTTTCCATCTTTGACTATTCAATATTCTCTTCTTCTTCATATAACTATGTCTTCTTCAAACCCTGATCCTCAAAAAGTTCTTATCGTAGATGAACTTACCCTTGCTCCTACTAGAAGCAGAAGAGGGGGTAGGCTGTGTAGTTTAGGGTCAGTTCCCATTCGAGGTTCTTCTTCTTCTCAACCTAGTTACACTCCTCCTTCATCTTGTAGAACTAGGGCTTTTCTTCCACATAGGTCTTCTGCCAGAAGTAGAGATTCCAATGAGCCAGTCCGTGAACCTAAAGTAGACGAGATTATCCCTTCTGAACTTTCGTTTAATACTGATAGAGAATCGATTAGAAACCAAGTTTCTTCTATGTCCTCTCATGATCATGCCGATGTTTACCCTTCACAGATTACTGAAGGTTTGATCTCTGTTGTTCGTAGAGATTGTCATTGGAAGTTCGATTTCCCAATTCTGATCCCTAATGCAAATCAAAGGATCACTTCTTTCAAAGATGGCTTTTCTT